GTCAAATAAATAAGATGCAACATTGAAATAAAAATGTTTTACGTAAAATCATTTATCAAACAAAAGAATTGTAATAAAATATTATTGACAATTTTAATGATGGATTCAAATTCCTATAAAATAAATAATATTATAAGAATTAAGTACCAATCCAAATAAGTTGTGAAATATTTTAAATTAGTATTTATTAGTGTTTATAGCAAATATACAAGTAGGTATTCAATAACAGATATATTGTTAAAGATATTTGATTCAGTATCTATAATACCTAATTATTTTTATGAATTAATTATCTTAACTGTTTAATAGCTTTACAATTCGAACAAAAACAATGTYTATACTAAAAATCTTTTAAGAACATACAGCACAGAAATGWTATGTATGAATATGTATAATATAGTAAATTAATATAATTTAACTACCTAGTTACAAATAGTAATTACTCAGTCCCATTCATATTTCTCAACTTTTGCTTATAATAGAATGACAATATACAAATAAATGTGTTCTACAACCTAACCTATTCATAAAATCCAAAAGGTAACCTACCATTATTTAACATTTAAAAACTACTTAAACAAATTAGAATCAGAAAAAAGTTAATTTCTTGTCATCAATAATTGTATTATAGTACACTAAACAAAACTCAAGTTTAATTAATAAATCTTTACTTTGAAATATACCAAAATTTCAACCATTATTACATACATTATTTAATGCTTTTATATATTTTAATGAACTTTTAATAAGTATCAATATGTAAATACCATTAAAAATATATTTTAATATATTTAGGTAATTTACAAGTGATACCTAAGTCATTATCTCAATAATCAGAAGCGACTTGATTTTAAAATAATGTTMAAAAACTGTCGAACAAACTAACATTATTTATTGTACTATTTTATAATAAAAATGAAATTATTTATGTATGTTTCAAAATACAAACATACACTTTGAAATAACCTAAAATATTACATTGGTACATATACATTATTAAATGTATTTTCTCATTTTGAATTAAACATCCACAATTTTTCAAAAAGAAAATATTTCAAAAACTTACCACTGTCAGAATAACTAAAATTTTCCAAAAATCTTAAGCATTCCTCCAATCCACCAAATATGGTAAACTCGCCTTGGAATGGATTCTGACGAAAAAATAAATCAAATACAGCTGTATCGGATGTTTTTTCTGATTTCCAATATGCATAAGCCATTGTAATTTGATATAAATCTGGTTAAAACATTATAATATTATGTAAATGAATAATAAATTCAGCTAAAGAACATTTTTATTTAAAATAATTATTAAAGCTTTAAATTGAAAAGTTAGCATAAAATTTAGTGCCTCTTTATGCATGCATATTATTGTTTAAGACCAGTATATATTTACAAACTAACTATACATTTATTTTAAATATAACATCAAGCAATGTATAATAAATGTAGGTATGAAATTGTGAATAAATTAACCGTGGGTATGTCATCCAATATAATACRATTTGTATCAAATAAAATCATTAAGSAACGAAGTAAAAATGTAGGTATCAATATTTTTTTTGTCAAATTTTAAAATAGAAAGGTTTTTTCATAACAATGTCTATAACTTCAACCAAATAAATTTAAGTAATAGACTTGCGTATTTTCAATGGCAGGTAATAAACTAATAAATAATGATTGAAAAATTAAAATAGTTATAGAAGATGATGAATTAAATCCTGTTTTTTTTTTTTTTAATTTTGAAAATAATTGTTTAGTAGTATTAAATAAGTACCTTATCATGATGAACAGTTAATAACACCTAAATAAACAACACTAGAAATTTA